CCCCCTCGCCCGCGGCCGAGGAGGAGAAGAGCATCTCGGAGCAGCGGGAGGAGCGCAAGCTGCAGGAGATCGCGGGCAAGGACCTGACCAAGGTGGTGAGCCTGAAGGACAAGCTGGAGTTCGCCCCTCGGGCCGTGCTGAACAGGAACCGCCCGGAAAAGAGCTAATAAAGTTGTTGGGGCAAACGCGGTGCCCTGGAGCGACTGTCCCCGGGGCGGGGGCTGGCCGCTGGAGGGCTGTGTCCTGCAGCACCATGCTGGGGACTCCCCTGTCACCTGCGCATCTTCCACCAGCCCTCCTGCGCCAGGCTGTACCTGGGCAATATGCTGTGCCCACTGCTGCTCTTCACGCTCCCGGGGCCCTCTGGAGGGTCAGGGTTTGCCCACGTCACGGATGCGCTCGAGACACAGCACCCAGACCTCCTCTGTGGCAGAGCGGGCAGGGAACCATGCTTTGGAGGTGGAGCATGTCTGAAACTTCAGCACCTCTCGCCCAGTCCCGGCCCTTGAGCCACAAAGCCCTCTCAGCCTGCTTCCACCCGCGTCTCTTTAGGTTCGGTGTGAAGATAGAAGAAACTTGGATCTGAGTGACGTGGGGTCGGGGTTAGGCTAACTCGCTGCCGCAGGAGGACCTGCTGTCCTGCTTACAGCTCTCCTGTGGCTCTCCCCGACCAGAGCACCACACTACCACGTTACCCCCACGGGAGCCTGAGCAGCGGTGGAGATCTCTGAGGAGCCCGTCTCTGCCTCGTCCCCAGGCTTCGCAGCGAGCAAGGGGGATGGGGGTCGGTGGAAGTCCTGGCCCTGCTTCTGTCATAGTGCTGTGAGCGTGGCAGTGCCTTTGGGCTGGTGTGTAGAGAACGGGGAGCTCTGCCCTGTGCGGGAACAGCCAGAATAAACTTCTGTCAGTCCTTGGGCCTCTGTGTCTTCTGCATCAGCACTTGGCCCTAACCTTGGCTTTGAGTATGTTTCTGCTCCCTGTGTTTTCAAGAGGCAACCCCTCTTGGCAGGAGAAATGCCATCGTTGTCCCAGGCCGGGCACTGACCTTGGGGCCTGGCAAGAGGGGGGCAGGCAGGAAGGAGGGGGAGGCACCCAAATCCCAGCCCGTGCTGCAGTTGTGCCTCCCTCCCAGCTCCCCCGGCCACGTCATCTGCTTCCTTCGGCCTCCTTATCTAGACAAGAAGGGCTGTGGCTGCGCTGGGTGGGGGCCCAGGGGATAGGGGCTCCCGTCTTGCAGGTCCAGTGTCTTGCAGGAGAGGCTGACAGCGAGCACTGGGGACTGGTGGCCTGTGTCCCTTCCAGCCTCGGGTGTCACCAACATGGTGGGACCAAACCCTGGCGAGAGCTGCCCAAGCAGGGCCAGCTGGTAACTGCCGCCGCTGGCTGCCAGCAGCGTGCCGGGGCCGAGCGGCCGTAGCTGGGGTTATCGCTGCCTCTCTGCTTGTTTTTTCCCCTGGTGCCTGAGGCAAGGCCTCACCGCTGCCCCTGGCCCGGCCTTCCCCTCCCGGGGACGATAAATCTATCATGTCTGTTGCAAAGCCATGAGGTCAGCAAACAGTTCAGCGTTTCACATCGCTCCGTCCTGCTTCCTCGGGGCCAGCTCCTGTCCCGCTGACAGCTTTACTGCTGGTGCTGCCCGGCTGTGTTTACCTCCCGACCTGCTGTCCTTGGGCTGGATTGTGGCCCAGCACTGCCGGGAACTCGCAGGCCTTTGCCGTTGCACTGTGCGAGAGCAGCTGTGGCTGGGCTGGAAGGAGCAGGAGGAGGCTCAGGGCGATGCAAAGTCTGACCCAGCCGTGCCTCACTGCCACCGCCTGCACTGGTGCTCATGGCACCTCCCGTGTCACTGCCCTGGTCCCCCTGGCAGGTAGACCCTGCCCTTGGCCTCTTGCTTTCCCAGCCTGGGTGTGGGGTGATGCTGGGCGACGACTGTTCCCTATTGTGTGCCGGGGTGGGAACGGTCCCATCCCTTCCCCCAGCCGGGACCAGCTGGACCCAGCTCGGAAATGTCTTCCGAAGTGCCTTTGTTCACCCTGCGACGGAGCGGCTCCCTTGGCTGTTTATAGCCCATTGATCTGCCTGTTCCCAGGACCGTCGGGCACAATCGGGCTTTGTCGGGGCCTCGCTGCCCCATTTCCTCCCCTGGGCCCACGCGGGGTCGGTTGGTCGGGAGGGGGATGCTGCGGTGCAGCATTGGAACAATGCCCTCGGGAAGGACTGATCCACCACAGCGGCTGCACGGGCACTGACGGCACCTGGCCAGGTAGCCCCTGCCCTGCTCCTGCTGCGGCTGCCTTGCTGGTCCTCCCATGTTTCCGTGTGTCTGGGGACTCCCGTCTGTCCCACGGCAGACGCCGGCGTTGCTGCGGGCCCATGGATTCCCGGCAGGCGCTGGGGCAGGGGTGAAGCTGCTTCTCAGAGCCCAGTTGCCTTTCTGCTAAGCCCTCGGTGCCGTAAACCCACCCTTCCTCCCATTGAATCCCAACAATGTGCTGCCTGGGAAGCACCGGCTGGACAAGAATAGGAGCCGGCAAGCACTCAGGGCTGGGGTGAGCAGCCACAGTGGCTCACAAATAGTGAGAGGAAGCTTTGTTGAATAAGCCATTATGGCAAAAAACTGGCTTCCCATGCCTGCGCACGACCGCTCAAGCGCAAGTCCTTGGTTTGCTCCAGCGTGTTTGTAATCCAGCTGTTCCCAGCACGGCACAGCTGGGCGCCGCAGCCGGAGTGTGGCGAGGAGTCGTGCCAGCAGTGCAGCTGGGGCTGGGGGGAGCCTGCCTCCAGGCAGGGAGTCCCACACCGGCCCCTGAGGCCAGCGTTTTGCGGGAGAGCATCCTCCCAGGGCTTGTCCTGCTTTGGGGCAGTCCCTGCGCCGGGGCCGGGGGCGGCTACACTGTGCCGCAGGGCAGGGATTGAATCCAGCAGCTGCAGAAGCGCTGCCTGTCCCTGCCCAGCCCGTGGTGGCCGTGTCCCAGGCTCGGAGGGAGCAAGCCGGCTGCCGTGTTCCTGGGATGGCTCTGCTGCCTTGCTGCTGCCTCGCTGCCGGCTCTGAGGGCGGCTGCAGCTCCCGGGCTAACCCTTCGCCCTGCTGGGGGTCGGGTTTGCTCCTGGGGGTCCATCGGGAACAGCTTGTGAGAGGAGCTGGTGGTGGTTCCCGGAGGCAGGACGCAGGGAGCGAGCCGGGGCCACAGCGGGGCTGAGCTGTGCCGTGGCTCACTGGGAATCGGCCCAGGGGACTGGGAAAGCTGCTGCCCAGGCAGGGGCAGTGAGAGCCCCCCCCTGCTACTCGGCATGGCTCGGCACACCTGGACGGCTGCAGCGGACGTCCGGTTAGATCAGAGCAGGGATGGAGCAGCTGCACAGGGCTGGGGATGCTGTAACCCTGCGTTGGCACAAAGGCTGCTCAGAGCCATCGGTCCCCTTCCTGCAAGGCCCAGAGTGACGGTGCTTTGGGGAGGAGAGGAACGGTGCAGGCTGCTGGGGCTGCAGGGACTCATACCCCCGTGTTCCGTCCCGCAGCAGCACAGTCACCCCGGGACACCCAGGACCTGCACGCAGTGCGGCGTCCCCGCAGCCCTGGGACACGGAGGATGCTCACCCCAGTTGCACTGGAGAGCAAATGGTGCGTTCCCCACCCCCCCGGCGTGTCCCCAGCAGTCCCTGGGGACATCTACTCCCTGCCCGGCCAGCCGAGGCTGTTTTCCCAGGCTCCGGTTTTGCCCTTTTCCTGAGCGCAGCCAAGTCCTTTCCCAGCCTCCGCGTCCCACTCGCCTCTTCCTGCTACGGCCCCACGGTCCCCGGCTGCCATGCCATGCCCAGCGGCTCCTTTCCATGGCTGGCAAAACCCCTGAAGTGCTGTGAGAGAGGAGCAGCTCTGCTGTACATCGAGATGCACGCCCTGAGCCCTGGCCGGGAACAGCCACAGTGGGACATGTTCCCATCCTGCTCAGCATCACCTCTTCTTGCGGCCACAGCCCAGGGCTGCATCCCCATCCCCAGCACCCCTGGCCCACAATGGCTCCTTGCTCCTGAGCGTGTGGGCAGCGGTTTCTGCCCTGGTGGTGCTGCCCTGGGACCATGTCCTGAGCCGCTGGCAGGGGCAGGACCCATCCCGGGGTGGGCACGGGGTGCTGCGGTCCTGTTGCCTCCATGCAAGGAAGCGGCCAGAGGGGAGCGACAATGTCAGGATGCGGGAAGTCGTCGGGGCTATTGAGCGCGTTTCCTCCCGCCCGCGGTTCTCACACGGGGCTGTATTGTCTGTCTTGCCCGCGCGTGGAGGGCTAAATATAACCCCACACTGGGGACGGGCCTGCGGGAGGAAGGGAGATGTTTGGGATTTGCTTTTCCTTCGTTGTGCGCTGTTGGCAGAGGCGCTGATAAGGGCAGCGTTGTACCTGGTTTGGTGTTGCCTCGACGGTGGGTGCTGTGGGCACGTGGTGCTGGGGCTCGGGGGTCCATGCCTGGCCCAGGAGGATGCTCCTGCCTGCGCCCACTCCCCCCAAGGGGCCGTGGGAAACGGGGCGCTGGGGGCTATGGGCAGAGCCCTGGGCACGGATGGGGCTCCAGCAGGATGAGGGGACCATGGCGTGGCCCCGGCTGGCATCCCCCTGCCCAGCCCTCTGCCCTTCCTCCCCTCTGAGCTGTGATTTTGCTCCTGCTGTGGCTCTTCCTGCGAGCGGGTCGGATTTAGACACTTGCTATTTTCTTTCTGTACGCTGGGAAAGCTTCAAAATAAACTCCTTGGTGCTCGGCCAGTGCCTTGGGCAGAGCCTTGTAGGTGGGACATGCTGCGGCAGCCCTCACGGCTCCTCTCCCACAGCCCAGGGCAGGATAGTGCAGAGGGAGCCCAGCACGGACTGGTCCTAACTGGGAGGAGGGCAGGAACCTCACTACAAATGTGTGGCTGTGGGGCAGAATCACCGTTGGGGGCTCTGGCTGGTGTTAGACCAATGTCCCCAGCAGGAGATGGGATCCCAGGACTGGCAGAACCACCCCAAAGCCTTTCCTGACTCGGTGGGGTACTCCATATCGCCACCTCCCACCTCCCCTCCAGCATCCTCCTGGACTGCTGCCGAGCTCACCGAGGTAGTTCTGGGGGGCTGCGGCTGTGCCTTGGAAAGTACACCCAGCTTTGGGATGGGATAAACCCTACAAGGCTCTTAGGTGA